TTCTTCCGTCGACTAGAGAATGATTTTTGAAGAGGAGTTAGAGAATGATTTTTGAAAAAGAGTTAGAGAATGATTTTTGAAGAAGAGTTAGAGAATGATTTTTGAAGAAGCGGGGGAGGATGATATTTGAAGAGGAAGGGGAATGATTTTTTAAGAAGGGGGAGGGAATAAATTTTGATGAGCGGAAATGATTTTTGAAGAGAGGGGGGACATTTATTTAATAGTGGGAGGAGAATGATTTTTGGTGAAAGGGGGGGGAATGATATTTGAATACCCCTGTATCATTAATATCCTTTACCTCCGTAGAAATGTTTCTTCCTGGATCCCCAGGCTCGGATATTCTCCTCGTTGTTGTCCTCCATGTCGCTTCCGAGGAAATCCTCGTCGTTCATCTCGAGCTCTGCCTCCGCCTCGCTCTTCTTCCCCGCCTTCTTCTTCTTCAGCTTTGACAACTTTGGAAGCTCCAGGTCACTGTCGCTATCAGTTCCTTATCAACAAAATTTGGATTATTGTTTTAATAAGAGGACCAGCACTAATTTCATTTACACGTTAAAATTCTATTAGTCTCCACTCTCCAGCTTTTCATACAAAGCTTGAATACTTAAAACAATTTTTCGCTTCCCTTGCCTATTTAGAAAATAAATAAACCAACAAGCGAGAAACAAGATAAACCCCTTTAAGAGTTTATATACAGTCATGACGATTGTTAAATCTATGGCCGGGTTCAAATCAGATGTTGTCGGTAGCGATTTAGTGTCAGGAGTTGTAAAATTTATTTAAATTAATTTTATGAACTTTTAAAGGGACTGTGAGCGTAATATCAAGTGACTCTCTATGTAAAGATGGAAATACCCTTAAAAGCAGTGCAACGGATCCATTAGATGATGCGGATCCGGATCCTTGATCCACACTGGAAAAAAATTGATCCGGATACAAATCCGGATCTGGAACCAGGTTATTTATTTAAAAGAACCCGTGTCAAGTAAGACATTTTGTAATATCTCTTTCAATATTAATAGCAGCCGGTTCTATTTTTGAACGTAGACTCATATAATTTGTACTTAGATTTGAACATGAGGTAGGCTGTGATATTTGTGCAATAATTAGTCAGCAGCTGGAACTTGGCTCGAATATACTCCAGCGCCGGACCAGGAGGTAAAGCTACTGTGTCCTCCAGGCTGACCAGCCGACTCAGCTGAACAGCTTCCGACATCTTCTTCCTGAAATCCAGGACGATTCCGTCAAATTCCGGAGCATCACGGCGGAATAAGGCGGAGAGTTCCTTGGATGATAGGGCGGATAGATCGCGCTTCACGATTTCTTCAACAATTTCTTCTTCTACTTTCTAAAAAAATACTGTTATTGGTTTACTTCTTTTAGATAAACTATTTTTTTGCTTTCCTAGCAAGCTAGTTAATAGAAAATTAATGTTACGAGATATTTTTTTTTTTCAGTCGTAAAACGGGACAAAAAGTATTATGTTTATTTATATGAACTTGTTTTTCTAGCTTCCAATTCATAATTTTCAATTACGATTTCCCAAGAAAAGTGGCTTGCAGATTTATGCGCAGCGCAGACAAGGAAGATTTACAGAATTTATCTATAAAAAATAATATCATTCTCCCTGGTAGGCGGATAAAAGTTTTAAAGTTATCGTTATTATTTAAATTACGTCGACAATCACTAAAACATTTAATTAAGTGCTACCTCTAAATCCTTGTTCTCCTTAATAACGAACGTATCTAGGAAGTCCTCCTCCTGCATCCTGTCCATCTGCCTGGCCTGGAGGATCTCGGCCTCCCTCTCCTCCTCCTCGTCCTCCTCAAACTCACTGTCCGAGGTTAAAATCTTCTCTCCAGTATTTCCTGGACAAAGAGAGATATACATCTAGAACATTTTTCCATTTTACTACTTATGATTTTTATCTTAGGGGGGGATCGGGATTAA